ATGGAAAACGCGTTATGTAAGCACAGCCATCGATTTCGCAATCCATCTTTCTTTTCTTTCTTGTTCTCTCTTTCAAATTTTGCAAGCGCAAAAAAAAGCCCTCGTTTTTATGGTCGTTGCAACGATGACCAGCTGACTTTATAGTTCCTAGCTTGATGCGGGTGTGATCGGGCTTGCAACCAGGGGTACGAAGAAAAAAAAGAAGGGAAGGGAAGAAGAACCCGGCCTGCCTCCCCCTTACTAACGTTAACTACATGTAACGTTCGCTCCGGAGGGTTCCGTGTGCGCGCGATCAACTCGATAAGGTAGTAGTAGTAACTCGTAATGGGTTTGCAAGTACTCGCGTGTTTATATATGGCTTTGGTCATGGGGAGTCAGATGTTCTACTAGGCGGTGCCAAGACAAGTCGGGGCGGGGAAGGCGTGCTCTGCGCCCGCGTGGACACCTGATGGCTATATACGCGCGCCCGCGCTCCTGCTGGCAGCCTCCAAGTAGTGATCTTGTGTCATAAGCCGTTCTCGGATCGGTTCGGGGCTTTTTTTCTTGTTTCTGATAGGCGGGCGTGCAACAACGTCGTTTTATGCCTAATGTTTGCGGGTCCTATATACAGTCTACTAGTAGCTTTGGTCATCGACTCAGATCGACAACGGCATATTGGGCTCTCAGGTAGTACCGTTCCATCAGTCCGTGTCGACAGCTAGCTAACACGACTGTAATCGCCAACCTGACTCGACTTGTGTGTGCCAGCCTCAACAGTACTGTACTTACTGCTAGTGCTAGATCTCGGCGCGCGGCCCCCGTGACGGGTTGTTACTTTCTCTTTCGATAAGTACTGATTCGGATGTCTCCTTGCTGTGCTTTTTGCTGAGCTCGCGGCTGCTCTCGGCTGAAGGTGGTCATTCAGCTGACGCGTTCGGCTATTTCAAAACTTTACAAAAAAAAAAAACCTTGTCAACACGAATATTTGTTGTGGCGTTTTTCTCGAATTTTTTTTTTTTTTTTTTACCAAGCGAGAATGTTGTTGCTTTCTCTCTGAGAAGGCTCTTCGGGTGGAATGCCGAACGAAGGATGCCAATCCCTTCCCCCCCCTCCCCCCTTTGAATTTTGTTTACGTTCATCTCGCATGCAAAAAAATATGACTGTGATGGTGGTGGTGGTGGTACATTCCAGTTTTTCCGAACTGTCTGCGCGCGAAGGTGTGTAGGGGCGTTGGCACGCACGGCGCCTTTCGCTGTGACCCGAACTACTACATGGCACTGCAGCAGCATAACCGCTTGGTCTATACCAAAGAGGCTAGTCTTTAATTCAATTGGAACAACTGGCCATCCAGTTGTCACTGTGGGATTTTTGGAGGGCTTTCCCCCCGTTCCCTGGCGGCGTTCCTCACCTTCATAACTGAACTAATTGGGAGGTGGTTAAGCTACTAATGGGGCCCTCTCCCATGAATGAGGGAAGGCTATATCTACTTAGCAGTACTTGTCGTTAGCTGCTGTGACATTAATGGCGGTCTGTCCCACCCTGATCCCTTGATTCGTCATGTTCACAGATAGATAGCGAGTTATTTGATCCATCTCTTGTTGAAGTAGTGATATTTCCTTCCGTTTTATTGTATGTCTAGATCGCGCATTTCGATCTTTGAGCTCTAATTCGAGGCAAGCGTGTCGGCGGCTTGCTCCGATCGGAAGAGTTTGACCTCAGGCGGTGATGCTCCTTATGGAGTGAGTGGTGATAGTGCTCCCATGCACCCAGGTTCTAGCTAGGTTTTTGGCTATATTTGGTATGGTCGAGCATCTATCCATCCATCGAGGCTCGTACGTATACGGGATGCATAAGATTACCCGTCTACGTTTTCCAAAGATGCCATCAACTCGTTTTGACCTCTGGTTCAACATGCAGCAAAACACCGATCAATCTCTCTTGGATATGGGAACGCTCATCGAACAAGCGCGCGAATGACTTGTTATACTGGCTGGATTGTGCTATGCATGGGGTTGTGATCGATCACCTTCGAGTTAACAAACATATCAGCCGCTATCTTGATCATACTCTTTCGTTGTATCCAGGTCCAGATGTAGTATTTGGTGACGGATCATCATCTCCTTTTTTCGTCCAACTTATCTATGAATATGCGTGACTTATTTTTTTTTTTGTTCCATCGAGATCAAACGAGCTCTTTGAACAGCTGTTTGTAGTGAACCCATGATCATTTCCGATCTCTATGTTCAGCTTTTTTTTATCTACTAGGCTTTTGATTCGTGGAGGCGGGCGAAACTGATTAGATCAACAATTGTGTTGTTGTTGTTTTCTTGCATCTGGTGATATCGGTGGCGTCCTGTCTCTTTTATCTCGGTTGGACCGGTTTGTTTGTATGCACCATCATTTACCGTATCTGAGTGCAGGGATAGGGTTGAAATTGGTACCCGTGCCCACTGCAGTATTAGGAATTCCCCGTTTGTAAACCAGGACATACTTGGCCAACGCCACCCAAATTCATGGCGTATATATATATGAAAGGGATCTCGAGCCAGTTTTCCTCGCTTACCCCTCTCCTCCCCTGGTTTCGTGGAATTTGCCGTAGCAAGGGAACCCGCCGCGCCGCCGCCCTTGGCTACTAGGATTGAGAGAATTCCCTGATTCGAGTTTTGAGGTGGGGCGGAGAATGCCATTCGTTGGTGCTGGCTGAGATGCCTTAACTTGGACGTCTCACATGCTGATTCTCCAGTCCTCAAGCACATTCGTTTTCTCTTCCCCAATTGGAATAGTTTGTGATTGCTAATCACTCAGGATCATAAGATATATGGCACCTGATTGGTGTTATCTTTTTTTTCTGCTAACGTAGCAGTACGGGATCGACCAAGCAGATATACCGTTCTGCGCCCCCAAGTTACTATTCTTCGGCAACCTAACTTGATACAATTGTTCGACGGATTTTCCGTGCAAGTACTACTACGTTGATTGGCGAGCCATGCATCGGACGGTTGTGGGTTGGGGACGCCGCGCCCGTGCGGTACGGTGTAATAGCAGGCCTGGGTCCCTGCCAGCGGAAGTTTGGTTGAAGGAGGCACCCGATCCAACGTCCAACTGTGTAGCAAGCTTCTCTACTTTTGGATTTTCTCGTGCAAATGCGGCTATCTAGCTAGTCGCATTAGCTAGCTAATTGGTATCTACGCCCCTGCATTGAGAGGCTTTAACGCTGGGATCATCCACATGATAACGCCGACCGGTGCAGCCGCGGTCAGGTGTCTCAGGCGCATGCGTGCTTTTGCTAGGGGAGTGGTGCAAGTACTGTAATCGTCTATGCCTCTTGAATGAAGCGTGTCCTTTGTTGCGGATAAGATAATCTAGTGAGTCATATATACTGTATGGAATTTTTTTTTGCATGCTTCTGATAAATCTTAAGGCAGATCGATATTATAATATCCAAGAGTCAAACGATCCTAGTCGGTTAGAAGCGAGTGGGGGAGTTAGATATATGTGATGAGACTCTGATAGGTTGGTTCATTTCTGGTATAAAAAAGAACCCCGATCGATTCGTTGACCGTTCTCGTTTAGTAGAGCAATCATTAGTCATGAGATTACCTTGCAGCTAGGGTTCTCGAATCTTACACTCCACCTGTTTCTTGTGCATGCAGCAACACGCCTCCTGCGTTCTTCCCTCTTTCAAATGAGGCGTTGAAAAAAGATGTATACGTACAAGATTTCTTGGTTTCTCAGTTAATGCGGTGGGTGGACCCTTTCATGCGTGTATGCGCGCGGTCGTCCAACGTAAGAACGGATCAAGTCCGCTCCAAGCTCGTTCCCACTGTCATACGTAATTAACAGGCTGATATGTTCGTGCGTGACAGAGAGTATCATGAAGACCCTGCTCAGCATTGTAGTGGGAAAAATAATATTATCGGTTTGTGGATGGCACGGTGTATATGTATGACTACCGCTAGTTGACGGTCAAGGCTGAGGAATCATCAGACCGACTCCGCTTGCGAAGGATATGACAGAACAGACGGAATATTGAACTGGGTGCTTTATGCCCTCGAATGAATGATCCAACTAATAAACGCAATTTATTCTCTTCTTGTTTCTTTGTCAATATATCACTAGTACAGCATAGAAGTCGCGCTACTTGGAATGTTCGTTTAATTTTTCCATTCACTACCTGGTCCAGGTGCATGATATCTAACGATCAGTCGCGAGTTAAAAAAAAGGGGGGAAGGTTCCAGATGAGTGAGGAAACTATTGATGCAGGTGTTCGAATGCATTCCGAGCTGTACATAACGCGTAACGTGCGTGTACAGCAGCACAAGCGCCATTTTTGGATGGGAAAGGGAAAGGAGCCTTTGATATGCTTGCTAATGCAAGGATTGCAGTTTGCTGGTACGAAAGGACTGGATCAAACTGCGGGAATGGAACCCAGTGTGCAAGGCTTTCAAAGATTGATTGGCCAATCTAAACGATCAACAGCCCTCCACTCTCGATATAGTTGTCCATCCTTTTGTCTGAGTGGCCAGTAAGTCGTCACTTGTAGATATTTTTTTCCTCCTAGAATTACAATCATCCATGAAAATGAACCCCTCGAGTGACGCACACTTGGAAGCAATGACGCACGCGGGAGAGTAGTGGTAGAGAAGAGCTTTGATGGTAACGAAAGTGTAAATGTTGGTCAAACGAGTCGCCTGAAGAAGAGCACTGCGTAGCATCAATATTTGCAAGGAAGTTGGGGAGGATGCTTGGTCGGTGGTATATCAGAACCCAGGTCAGAGACAAAGTCCAGGGAGACACTATAAGCTTGTATTGGAAACAAGGTTATACGAGATACAATGATTAGTGAATAATCCGGACAGTTCATAGCATGTTCATGAATGTTGCAATGCAAAGGGGAGATGAAGGTGCTGCCGGGGTCCGATATTGCGTCATGCGCTACTGCTATATTTTCACGCGAACGCAGATTCAGAGGATCTGAGGTGTGGCGAAGGGTCTGGCAGGGTATATACCAAGCAGGAAGCTCAGAAGTCGCCCAAGTCAAGCTCAATGGAACTTGTCAAAGCATCGAAGGAATTGGAAGAGAGTGCAGGCGTATCAGCAATTGACGATGAGAATGGTGTAGTTTTCGCGTCTTTTGTAGGTCCATCCACATTCGGGGTCCCAGCCCGGCTGGAGACAGGCATCAACACGGTGACCAAGACCATGTTAGCCCTTTTGTCAAGGGACACAGACAACAAGCCTCGCACCTGGACTTCATCTCGTGCACCAACTTCGGCATAGTTTTAACTCTTGCACTAAGATCCGCTTTGATAAACGGGGATCCGGATCTGGACCCGTTCTGACTGGCAACCATTGAAGCACCGAGCGCGGCCTTACGCCGTCTTTCTCTTTCTGCTTCCTCTTGGTTCCGTATTGACTCAAGGTTCGCCTTCCTATCACGTTCATTAACGATCGTTGTACGATCAGCCATCTCGCCGCGCTTAGTGGCGTCAGAGGAGAGCTCAGCGAGTTCGCCTTCGATGCGCCCGATTTCCTTTTGGTCTCGCCGATTTTGAGCAAGAGTGAGCTGTTGGTTAAGAGTAGCTTTCCTCGCAAGCAAGGTTTGGAAGGACGGACGATTATCCAGGACTTCGTTCTTGGCTCTCAGCATAGCCTGGAGGTCACTCTGGGATGCATGGGAATCTAGATTGGACGTTGTCAATGGTAATAGCTGCACACACCTCTGTCATCGTCTGCTTGGAATACATTAGGATCTGCTGGTGCTTTTTCTCCAAAGCGCTTTTCCTAGGCGGATTAACGTCATCTCTTTTGAGATGTCGCATAAGACTGTCAAATTCGTCCTTAGAAGCAAGTCAACAGGGAACAAGCTTTTCATAGCACAACTCATACCTGTGGGAAGGGACCATTGGAAACCCTATCCATATTCCAGCATTTTTGCAATGAGCCATGTTTTAGTTCCAATTGCTTGTTGATCCTAGTTTTGTCGTCGAGGTTGTAAGGAGGAATCAGATGAACCCCCACATCTTCGGGGAGGATGAGAAGTTGTTGCAGAGCCATTCGACTAAAACTGACCGACAACTTCACATATACGGTAAGTAGGGCGACCAGATTGGTCCGGCCCAAAATTGTATCTTATCCAAGCGCCTGATGATCCCATGTGCGAGGGCAGGATGAGCAGGGGTGAGTATGACGTACCTTTGACAAGCTCTTCAAACCACGGCCGGAAACAGTATTTAGCCAGCATGTCTCGGGTTATTCTTGCCTTAGACAAGTCATCAACACCGATTTCCTCAACGACCTCTGGTCTTTCCTTCTCTTCACGCGGCTCCTCTTTGTTGGCTTCTCCATCTTCATCAGAGTATTCTTCCGAAGAGGATTCCCTTTTAGTTCGCTTCGGTGAATCTTCATCTTTCTCGCCCTGGGGACGAGTTCGCCGTTGTGAAATTGGTCGTGAGAATGATGAAAATACTAGCCTTATGAGCATCACGTTCCTTCTTAGCCCGTCGTTTCTCAGTAAGTGCAGCCAGTCCTCTAGCTTTCTCTTGAGTTCTCCCAGTGGCAGTGTGTTTCCCTGAAATGGCGAAGATTGAAGATGCGACCCAAGACTCCATGTCGGAACATACGCTTGGCAGCCGATGAAACTTTATCATCATCTGGAGAATTTTGGTCTCTACGTTTGGCCTTCAGTAGTCGCTCTAGGTTCATCTTATCAAGGAGTTTTTGATGCTGTTCACGTCGCTCGGCCAGAATTTGTTCCCGTTCAATTTCGTTCATCTGCATTAGGCTTTGGGGAGGGGGATGAGCCAGATTCAAAACTACGAGCCGCATAAGTATGGCCTTTACCGTTGGCGGTCAAGTTCATCCTTGTATATGCCATCCAGGGGGTATGGATTCGATTCGTCTTCTTCACTCTCAGGCTCATCCTCGTCAGATTGCACGGGTACTCTATTGTACCATCAAACCCGTTAAATCCAATGAGTAAACATGGAAGAAGCGCGCTTCTCGCTCACTCTTGTTTGCGCCGCTTGGATGATGAAGCGCCTTTGGATGTTGGAGCTGCGCGTTTCTTCCGCGGCTTGTTAGATTCTGAGTCACCAGCAAGCGCAAGCAACTCGTCACCGAGGTCAAAGTGATCATCGTCAGAGGAGGCCATGTGGAGCACCAGGTGATTGTGGAAACTAGAGTGGTGGTTGTTGTTGATTAAGCCGGGGATTACCGGTTGATGATGCACGGCTTCTGCGGCTATCACTCACCCGCTTGCTCGCGCGTTCATACTTCGGATTTTTGGTAATAGCGCCCGCTGTCACTCAATACCAGCCTGGAGCGTTCGTTTGTCATTAATGAGTTATGCACAGCAGAAGCAACGGCATTTTGCGCAGCTCTCAACCACCTTGCAGAGGCTTGCGCGCGAGCTGGAGCAGACTCGCGATCTGATGGAGCAGACAGTTGTTCAACTGAATGCAATGGGGAAGTTTAGTGCATTGCACGCTGCTCAGTTCGTCCCAACTTTCTGATATGAGGCGCGAACCTTATTGCGCGTCCATGTCCTTTGAAGAATGATTGCAGTTGAGAAAATTGAAGAATATGTCGATGAACATGGTCACTTACCTAGCACGGTCCCCGCGAACAGAAGCACCAAATCCGCGGGGTCCATCTAAACTTAACGTCTGTGAGCATTTGATTCCTTCTCACGTCAAATATGCACAGTGATGTACTCTCTTTTTAGCGCTGTCCACTGCAGTCGGTTGCAAGCAGCTTTCGTCACTAGCCCTCAAGGATCTCTTTCAACCATTCCTATAATTGGCCCTCGGAATGGCGACCCCTCACGAGGATCCATTTAGATAAGATTTCGATGCTTCGACTTTGCACCCCAGGATCGCCGAGAACAGGCACCGCAAACTCTTCATGGGGCGTGCCGGCTGATTTGATCATACGGTTTTGGCATGAATGCCTCTGGTTATCCTTGATGTGTATCTCCTTGCCCTCTGGCACGCCCAAGTCTGGTTGCATATTACGAATGTTTATGTGGTACCACAACTAGTACTGTCAGCGACTGGTTATGTGCCCAAAGATTTACAAAGGGAATCAAATCTTTTTAACAGGACATTACGTGAAGGGGATCCCTATTCCTGTACCAGCTCGTGTCACAATGAGCATGAGGATAGGGCGTGTGTTGGATGGTGAAGTTTGCATTGTCTATTGTTGTATGAGAGGAGCTGCTGTGCCATTGGATTAACATTCAACGACAGGAGATGGTTGGGGGATCTCCTACTTTCAGATACTCGTTCAGTCGCTCTTCCTGTCCTGAATCAAGTAATTCAACTTCATATTCAGAGATACCCATACGTTACTGGTGCCACCCTTTTAGACGCGATCCCAGGAATATTATCTGCGCAACGGTAGCCTCGCATGCAGCAGCTGTATCGGATGGCACGGAGTTCACAGGGTGGTTGAGAATCGGCAATGTTATCGGGGTGAGTGAACTGTGCTTTCATCAATACGCCACTCTTGTGGCAGAAATCCAAGGCATATGCCTAGTTCCTTATGTTGAGCCACTGGCTCCACGACGATAGGCAGGTTACCAGCCTCTATTGGAATACTTAGACCACGACGACCCAACAGGTCATGTTTCCCCCCAGCAAAACAGTACCGAGACAATAGTAGATCTGATTCCCCACAGGTGTAAGAGGACCCAGTCCAACAAGCATAACTCCTCAACAACACAATGATTTCCTTCCAGACTCTGGCACAGAAACTGAAGTCCGTGCACTTCCGCGTCACATGACTGTAAATGCACTTTTGAATTCATGTCACAGTTTGTACTGTCAGTGTCACGGACTTTCAGCCAGTTTGCCATCGGTCGTGAGGCCTCGCCCTCGCTCTGAGTCTTAAACCCTCCGACGACCATGGTTTCTCATAATCTTAAAGGTGAGTAAAATTGAATCGAACGATCTCGGTATTAATATCACTCCATTCGTATATCAGCCCTCATCAAAGCAATTCGTGCTTGCAAGGTGCGCAAACTCTGCTGCGTCTTGGTCAATACTCATGAGTCTGGCGGTCGTTCGCGCCACTAGACCCTGGCAGATGAGCGCGCTTTGATACAAAATGAATCTGCAGCTATCCGTACGTCGTTCCGCGAAGAGGATTCCTTTGCACGGCACAACAACATCGCCAAGTTATTGTATATCCATATGCTCGGCTATCCAGCCCATTTTGGGCAAATCGAATGCTTAAAACTAGTAGCAAGCCCGAGATTTTCCGACAAACGACTGGGGTACCTTGGAATCATGTTATTACTAGACGAGCAACAGGAGGTTTTGATGCTCGTTACGAACTCCTTAAAGAAGTAAGCCCAATTCATCCCTTGCGATGAGCCTCCCTAATGATTATTCGTGCCCAACAGTGACCTGAATTCTTCCAATCAGTATGCTGTGGGGCTTGCCTTGTGCACCTTCGCAGATATATCATCAGAGGAGATGTCTCGGGATTTGAGCAATGAAATCGAGAAGCTCTTAGGCTCTGCAAATACTTATATACGAAAGAAGGTGCGTAGCTGCTTATTAATTTGTTAATTCTTCCCCCTGAGACTGTTTCAGGCTGCCCTGTGCGCACTGCGGATAGTCCGTCGCGTCCCCGATCTCCTACCCAACTTCATTCAACGTTCGAAACCATTACTCTCGGACCGAAATCATGGCGTACTCCTTGCTGGGATCACTCTGATCACGGAAATGTGTGAGATGGACGCCCAATGTTTAGATGAATATCGAAAAGTCAATCTACCGTTGTGTGCAGAGATTTCGTCACTGAAGGTTTTTTAGGCTGTCCCTCTCCTTGTTCGACACCTTAAGTCACTCGTAACTACTGGCTACAGTCCAGAACACGACGTCTCGGGTATCACGGATCCATTCTTGCAAATCAAGACTTTGCGTTTGTTACGCCTGCTGGGAAAGGGTGACGAGAAAGCAAGTGAAGTCATGAATGACATTCTAGCACAGGTGTGCCATAGGCAGTGAGACCGGCTTCAACTTACATCTTACTTTTATCACCCCATTATTCATAAGGTCGCCACCAATACCGACTCGACGAAAAACGTAGGGAATGCTATCCTTTATGAGACCGTTATGACGGTTCTGGAGATCGAAGCCGACAGCAGCTTGCGTGTCATGGCGATTAATATTTTGGGAAAGTTCCTGAGCAATAGGGATAATAACATTCGGTAGGCACATCCTATTTTGCCGGTTCAGCGCAATTCTGATAGTATCTGGCAGATACGTGGCTCTCAACACTCTTCTTAAGGTGGTCTCCATGGACACAAATGCAGTTCAACGTCACCGTAATATTATCCTTGATTGTCTTCGCGATGGGGACATTTCTATCCGTAGACGAGCACTAGAGCTCTCTTATGCACTGATCACTGAATCCACAGTTCGTGTGCTTACTCGAGAGCTCCTTGCATTCCTGGAGGTCGCCGACAATGAGTTTAAGCAGGGGATGACCACCCAGATATGTTTAGCTGCAGAACGATATGCCCCAAACAAAAGGTGGCACATCGATACCGTTTTACGGACGTTGAAACTGGTGCGCACGACTCGTGCTCGATGAGCTGATTCATAGTGACCGGCACCCGCCAGGCTGGGAATTATATCCGAGAAGAGATACTTTCCGCTTTTATTCGGCTCGTATGCCACACGCCAGAACTTCAGGCATATACTGCATCCCGTCTGTATTCGGCTCTTAAAGAGGACGTTTCCCAGGAGTCGTTGACCCTTGCCTCTGTTTGGATCCTCGGAGAATTCGGAGACAATCTACTGGAACATGGTCTAGTCGGCGAAGAGAATCCACGGCAGGTAAGCACTGGCATGCGCTATGGTATGGAATGCAAGCTACCACAGTCATCTTACAGGTAACAGATAGGGAAATTGTGGAATTGGAGGAGTCTGTCCTACAGTCGCCATACGTGAACGCCCTCATTCGGCAATACGTCCTCACGTCGCTGACAAAGTTATACGCCCGACCAATTGTCTCTGACGCGCAACGAGAGCGGATATCGACCATCCTGGAAGGCTTTTCGACAAGTCCCGAACTTGAGATCCAACAACGCAGTGTAGAATTCGACTCATTGTTTGGTCAAAGAGAGATTGTAGTCGGTGTGCTAGAGCAAATGCCAGTCCCAGAAATCAAGGCAACCGTGATTGGCACCGTAAGCGAGAAACGAAGTGTTGGGCCGACTCAGGCCAAAAGTGACAATGTAAGTGACGTATTCTGCAGCATACACCAGAATTCGACAATTTGCGTTGCTTATCTTTAGCTCATTGGAGACGATGAGCTGCTCAGTCCTGCGACAGCAAGTGGCCCCCAGCAAACCCAATCAGGACTTGAGGACCTTTTGGTAGGTCCTGGCGGCCCACCAGGCGACCAGGGTACTGCTCGAAAGGCTACCGTCAACGACATCATGGGCCTGTTCGACACGCCAGTGACCAGTTCGTCCAACTCTCAACCTCAAGCCAACCCGCTAGCCGCCCTGTTCTCACAGTCGACTCCACAATCCTCTACCCCAGTCACCAGCCCTCCCACAATTCAACCAGCTGCATCAACTCCCCATGTGTATCATGCATACGAGAAGAACGGTCTCAAAATCACGCTACAGCCGCAGGTCAATCCAACAAAACCTGGTATGGTTATTGTCTTGGCCCGATTTCAGGCTTCGGGCGGACAAACCATAATAAACGTCAACTTTCAAGCTGCGGTACCCAAGGTGGACTGTTTGGTCGCCTTAAGTTTCATTCGGCACTAATGTAGTACATCTGCTCAGACTCAACAACTTCAGATGCTACCAATTTCAAGCCAAATTGTCAATGTAGGCGCAACAGAAACTCAACAATTGCGTATTATAGCACCACAGGGAGTGAGTGGAGTTTCGGGTGAATTTGATTGAACACATTCCGATTTCTTTGCTTTACAGAGCCTAGTGCGTTTGAGGTTAAGAGTAGCTTTCACTGTCGGCGGACAAAGCATACAAGACCAAGTCGACTTCTCTGGATTCCCTGCTGGGTTGACCAACGGATCACTATCTTAGCCACATCCTGTAGATTGTTACCATACAAGGCTTACCTACTTCCGGTTCCGAGTTCTCACAGAGTCATCTTTAGCTTATGTAAATAAAAGCGTCTAAACAATCTTCTTAAGTCATTCCACGCTTGCGCATCGTCCAGAAGACAACCAACAGCGATTCAAAAGACAGCCCTCGGACTCTAAATAGTATCCCTCTACGCTAGATACAGCACTTGCTCCCCATTGCATGTCCCAGGTGGACGCTAATATTATCGGTCGTAACTTAACAGCAACAGTCGATCATTCTTCGGCTGCCGTAAATGACGGGCCTGCTGGTGTTGCCCTTAGAAGTACCAGGCGTCGAAGAAGGAATAGGCGTCCGGTCGAACGCTCACGGCCAGTACCTTCCAATGACGACTTCGACCCTTTCGACCTAGGTACGCCGGTTGACCGCACAGCCCGTTATGCTGCGTCGAATCCCCAAGTAGAGGCTCCTGCCGCCCCTGGTCTACCTCCTGGGCGTCGAGATGCGAATAGCAGGAAGCAACGTGCGCCGCTGACTTCTGATGGTGGAGTTCTAGGTCTCAGTCATGCTAGCCAGTCACAATTGGCAATCACGGACACCGGAACCACCTCTCCATCTGCCATGAGCTCCGATAGGGGCCAGAAGAAGGAGAGCTACGAGCCTCGGATTCCATCTCGCAAGAAATTCGGTGCGAAGCTCACTATGAAGACTGTATCGACAGCGGATGGCGGAGAACCAAATTCATCTTCCCCAACCAAGACCCCCATCCCACGGAATAGGAGAAGAGGCAGGAAGCTGAAGGGAGAACTCGACTTGACTGAATCTCAGGACCTTGCTACTCGTTTGATTCGCTCATTTACAAATAAAGATGATGCTCTTGATTGTCCAATTTGTTTCAACTCTATCCACCCCGCACAACCTATCTGGTCCTGTTCTCCCGACTCTACCGAGCATGTTGAGACATGCTGTTGGACCTCTTTCCACCTGAAGTGTATACGATCTTGGGCGTCGAAAAGTACGTCCAATGGGTGGATTGTTTGTTTTGTTTAACTCACATGATGAATTCTCTATATAACTCCAGGTCACAAGGAAACCCTAGATGCCTACAGAGCACGGGGGAGAGTAAAGACGGTGAATGGCGATGTCCAGGTTGTCAGACTAAGCGATCTGTAGTGCCCCAGACCTATCGGTGAGCCGGTGTCTTCTTTAGGTCTGACAAGCTGTGCTATAATGCGTATATTCAGGTGCTTCTGTGGACGCGATCAGGATCCCGAAGGCTCACGGCTCATCACGCCGCACAGCTGTGGCAGCGGTTGCTGTAGACCGAGGAATTGTGAACATCCTTGCTCGATGTAGGCCAATTTTGGCAACATATTGTCACACCTAGCTGATTTTTTGCACTAGGTCATGCCACCCTGGTCCTTGCCCTCCTTGTTTACTCTCCATTGAGCGCAAATGCCACTGTGAGAGAGAAACACTTGTTCTTACGTGTTCACGTGCTCTAGACAGCTCACCTACGGCCTCATCTCTGGTCCTATCATGTGGAAGGCAGTGTGGCAAGGTACTTGGGTGCCGCAATCATCGTTGTGACAATATTTGTCACATTGGACCTTGCCAATCGTGCTCCCAGCGGGAGAACGTTCGCTGTTTCTGCGGAAAGGATGAAATGCAGGCTGATTGTGGCTTTCGGGGTGAAGATGCTGCGCCTTGTTTCAAAGTACATAACCCCAACAATTCCACCAGTGGAATCGTGTCGCGCGAGGAGTGGGAGGGGAGGTATCAGTGCAGTAGTAGCTGCGAGACGCTATTCTCTTGCGGGGTGCACATGTGCCAAAAAGTTAATGATCCACTTCTCAATATGTTATCACTATCGACTAACCCGTTGTTCAATCATAGCCATGTCACCCTCACCCTCTCTCCGAGCTCTCGTGTCCGAGCGATCCTTCCGTAGTCAAGACTTGCCCATGTGGCAAAACTCCTCTCAGTGCCTCACGATCGAGTTGCACAGATTCCATACCAACATGCGGATCGACTTGTAGAAAAGAGCTTCAAACATGTAGCCATCCCTGTCTTGTCCCTTGCCACACTGGCGAGTGCCCCCCATGTTCGACACAAATTTCTGTCCCCTGCCGATGTGGGGAGACGGTAAGATACGTGTCATGCTCGGCACGTCAGCTCCAAGTACTGCAAGGCAATAACGAGGTAACATGCACAACAAGGTGCACAGCAATGAGGCATTGTGGGAAGCATGCTTGTAATAGGGATTGCTGCCCCCTAGCCGCTCATGCGAAACAAGCAAGAAGGAATAAGAAGCGGAGGGCTGCAGAACCATTGGTAGATGCTGCGACACTCGAAGCGGAAGATGTGCAAGGATGGCATGCCTGCAATTTCGTAAGTTCGCCTTAGCTTTCCGAGTGCGTGATGAGTGAAATTTTGGCGGTAGCCATGCAACAAGCCACTAAGTTGTGGGAAGCACCGATGTGAGCTCCAAGACCATCGAGGTATATGTCCACCATGTTTGCAATCCAGCTTTGAAGAAGTGAGTCAAGCTGTGTACTCTTTTACTGTCGTTCAAAACTGATCTGTTTAATCTTAAACCAGGCCGTATGCAATTGCGGTAGGACAGTGCTTGAGCCACCAGTTGCTTGTGGGACACAGGTATGCGTTTCGCATCATGAGATTCGGGTCCCAGCCCATCCGTTCCTCCCTGTTAGATTCAATGTAATTTCCCTTGTGTGCGTCCTGATCCTGCATGTGGTCACCCCAAAACGCCACACCCATGTCACGAGGACGGACCTTGCCCCCCTTGTCCTCACCTGATCACGAAGCTCTGTGCTTGCGGAAAAACCAATGTGAATAACATACGGTGTGTATTCATTCTCTTGATGACGGTCCATGACTTATCTGGTCCTAGTTGTTCTCAAGAGAAGGTACCATGTGGTAAAGTTTGCGGCAGGTGAGTCCCCAATCATTGCTGTGCAGTGTTTATTTGCTGATCAATCATCACAGACTCTTAGATTGTGGTTTCCATTCATGCGGCAGAACATGTCACGAAGCCGATTGTGGGACTTGTACTCGGACCTGCGGGAAGCCACGTAAATCCTGGTGAGTGTGAGTTGCTGATATTTTACCGTTTCATAACGCCTCCTTTTCACCGAACAGTCAGCCTTGGCAACACGGCTGTACTCATCCCTGGTGAGCCTTGTCCCGCCCTCGAGTTCCATAGCGCTGACATATCTGCGTTCTTTCAGCCATGCTCCCTCTGCTTGTCTTGAAGATGAGCCTTGCACAGCCCGTGTTGTTCTCCGTTGTGAATGCGGACGAATTCAACAGCCAGCGACTTGTGGCTCTTGCACCAGCAATCTCGCATCTCGTAGATCCGGCTCCTCGCAGCTCAAATGCAACCAAGAATGCGCTATAGCAAAGCGGAACAAGAATCTCGCTGAAGCCCTTGGGATCGACACAGCTTCATCAAGGACGAGCAAGTTCCCTGTTACATGGCCTGAGGAGTTGCTCACATTTGCCGGGGCGAACGGTCCTTTTGTACAGCTTGTCGAAAAGACGCTGAGCGAGTAAGCTACAATTTATGCCCCATAGCGAAAGAGTTGAGGCTAACTCATGCCTAGCTTTATCGAAGCCCAAAAACGTGTTCAGATCCTTCCCCATATGCCACCCGCTCGCCGGGAGTTTGTGCACAAGGTGTGGTGTTTCTACGATGTTGAATACTCATAATCAATCGGGTTGATACAGGTAGCCGAAGTCTACCGAATGGGTGTTCAAGAAGTGGACCAGGAGCCTCATCGGAGGTGTGCAGTCTGTCTGATAAACCCCCGATCCATGAAGCTAACAAACTTCGCAGCCTCCAGTTGACCAAGCGCATTGATACAAGGGTGCCGGATCCGCTCCTATCAAAAGCTGCAACTATGCTTAAGAGGCTAACAGTTACTGAGGCCAAGAAGGCAGTTGCTCAGTCTTCATGGAGTCCAATAGTTCCTTCTCCAAGACCTCCTGTTGTCGGAGCCACGACTCTGAAGCTGGTCGGGACATCTACCAGTGCTCAACTGCCCAAGCCCCCTTCAGAAACTTCTGGGCGTGCAACCAGCCGTCAGCCGTCCCCTATCCTTAGAAGATTTGCTGGCCCATCTTCGCCACAGCGAGATAGCGAGCCTCAAGCTGACATACCAGAAAGTTGGGATGATGGGGCGTGACTTCGTCAGCCCATTGTTGTTGTACAGACATAAATAGTTCCGATTAATAGAAAACACCCAAGTTAATCAACAACATGTGGTAACTTCGGTGCGTCTCCGGCTTCGGCAAGTACGTGGGCTGGAGTTCGATCTGACATTTTATCGCTACGAAAAACTATCAAAACCTGTACTGTATTATGCACTGCACTCCATGTAAATGATGGCCAAAATACGGGGCTGTGCAAGCAGTCTGATGTTTGAGTGGATGCTCTCTTGTTATGGAGCACTCAGCGGGGATACTCAAACGGGGGAGGATCTCACTTATAATAACATTGTAACTGCACAGCGGTATAAGTAGCTAAACTAATAACATGATATGAGACAAAATTGATAACGGAATAAGATGCGCGTAAGCGCTGTATGTGGGACGCAGTCAACGGTGAAACATGTAACGCATGGTACCATATCAGTAACTGCTACGCGTACTGGCACCTCGTCATGGCTTGTTCGTCCAACGTGCTCAGATCAGCCTTGCCAGTTTACAACCTCCTGTCCTCTTGCTTTGCATGTTCTTCCGTCAAGCGCTGCCCTCTACGCTTTATTGAAGTGCTTCTTGTTTTCTTCTGTTCTCCATTGTATTTCTTCATGCTCATTGTTTAGGCTTTCTTTTCTCCTTTTCTGTTGTTTTTCTTTCGCAATATACTTATTGGGCTCAATAGGGAGATGCAATATTATATATATTTGGTGGAACCTTCTACAGCTCTCGCAGCAAGTTCCTGCCTGAAGGTTCATAGCGGGAGGGCTCTGCCTCCTAAATAAAGGCCAGCTCGCCGTCGTGTGCCTGGGATTAATTGCGACCTGGGGAAATGCATTGCTGCACGTGCGGTGTGGCACACAGAAAAGTGCCTATGCAGTTTTTATACATCGTAACCGATAGTTCATGCTTCTGCCTTGGTTCAGCAGGGGAGGTGTCCTTAGACATTGTTAACTGGACTGTCTAGTATCGTTCACACTCATTAGGCAATGATTCATATTTCTTCCTGCCTGAGGAATCCCTTGCCTGCACAGTGCATACGATGTCAAATGACATTGTTCCATTACTGTACTATAACGACCATTGGTTCAGTCACATGTCACACGCAAACTGTGAACTGAACTAAAGTAGGTTTTGTCACATGTCACAGCGAGACTTTGAACAGATAAATGTATTGACAACTGGTTCCCACGAAATCCGGGAGTTGCCGGAATCAGCAAATCAATTCAGTTTCAATTCAGTTTAAGATTTCACGTGATGTGTGGCGCATGTCACACTGAGAGATGAACTATGCAAGAAGGAGATGGCAATCCCCGAAAACCGTGGGAATGAACCTATGGTCGTTATAGTACAGTATTGTTGATACTGAAAATGCACTGTCTGGCCATCGATGGACACCTGTTGAATTGAAGGCAAGGCATGAGTCAAGTACATTGTCTTCTACATAAGCCGTACCGTAACGGAGTTGTCCCGAATTTATTTTGTGTTGGATGGTTTCTCACTCTACTTACTATCTACACACCACTTGCGAGTTCGAAATTTGATTCTTGAGCTCGTACTTGACGCTGTACCATCAAGTCCCACATTGGGAACGTAGCTGAATTGGTGATGCTTGTCAAAAACTCTTCATCGTCAGTCCGAGGGCAGGCCTCTTGAGCCCTCGGCCGGCTGCGGCCATTCTCAACGTTTACAGTAAATTAATGAGTTAAGAGAAAAGCCTTCTAATCAGTTCGGTTCCGTGAGCAGTCCATGAGTTAGTGGACACAGTCCGTATGGACCTGCAATGCGTATGATTGTGCGCCAGCGATGCGAGCCGTACGTCAATTAAATACATTAATAGTAAATGCAGGAGAGGGTAGCAAGTGAAAAAATGATGTAACGCAACGGAGGCGATGGGGAAGGAGGTGGGAAGCGCGGAGATTCAGTTAAGAACTATGAAAGTAAGAGTAAGCGCGCGTTTAGTGGATAGCGAGAGCAGGGATAACTGTGTGCAGGCCTGAGGAGCGGGGCCAGCACACACGGTTAGAAGCCTCATCGCACTACCGTTAACTTACCAGTTAGACGTTGTAGTACGATTGCGCAGGCAGGTGGGGAGTGGATAAGGTGCGCTATTTATCTCGCTCCCAGATGCAACTTGTCTCTTCCCGCAGCTGGTCTGAGACCAAGTTTGGGCCCGGAGGAGGGTTTCGTCCGTCTTGTTCCATCCGCACTGCGACAGTGCAGAACAAGACGGCCTCCTCTGAGGCGCGCGCGGATCCACCTGATTAGTCACGTGAAATGGGATTAAACTGAGACTAATCAGTTCGGTTCCGTGAGCGGTCCATGAGTTAGTGGACACGGTCCGTATGGACCTGCAATGCGTATGATTGTGCGCCAGCGATGCGAGCCGTAACTTGTACACGTATAATGGCTGGTGGAGGGGTGGTTGGTGGTGAGTACTTAGACTCAATGATCTGCACGCTGGCCGTCGAATGCTGATCGTCCCCCAATGTGCCTTGGATCAGTATTGGGTTTTGGCGCAGGTAGATCAGGAAAGCTTCTGAAGACCACCTCCCAATAGCGCGTATCCGCTCCAAAGGAGTACCTGCAAGTGCTAACGCCGTTGCACCACCCGAGCGCAAGGAATGGCCTGCAACATCTCCCGTCGTGATGACTCCTTGCAGTCTGCCCAAGAACCAGGACCGGGTGGGGATCTTTCCTGAGTCTCGCAGCCATAAGTCGGGGAGGTGTCGGAATCGATAGTCTCGAGCGTTCAGGTATTGTTCGAAGATTCCCAGGGGGTCTAAGTCACTGTCTCGTCTCTCTAGCACGACCGTTGAGCCTTCAAACAGCCTGTCCGCTTTGTGCATTGGTAAGATGAACGCGTAGTGAGGTCGCGGTTCGGAGTGGAATCTAACTGAAGATCTTCTTATTGATTTTCGGTAGTTGCGCAGTGCCATCCTGTGAAGGTGATTGCAAGGAAGAGCATATCGTCATGTGAAGGCTGAGGTGGGATTGATTGTAGAACGGTCCGCAAGTCATTTTCGGTTAGAGCCCTCTTCCTGACAGCTGGAGTGCGGAACATTTTGGAGCATCCAGTTAGAGTTCTCGAGACGAGTTTTGAGTTGCGAGTGTCGCGGACCTCCGGCCAGTATGCTTCAAGTTCCGAACATATACCTGAAAGATACGAAGAGACCGAGTTTGGTTGGATGTGGGCACACATGTAGACGATGTAAAAGGTGAGTGTGTCGATCGTTGGTCGTAGTGGGAAATGGTGGAGGTCGCAGAAATTGATGTAAGACATTAGCGCTGACATATAGGTACGAGCAGTGCTAGGCTCAAGAGCGGCTCCCAGGGCAGCTGCTCGAGCCTCCCGGAGGCGCTCCAGGGACCAAGGCTCGCGCTGTGGTTGACGGGTCTTGGAGCGCCTCTGATCATTCATTTCTTCAATGCCCCCAGCTTCATAAGCGCTGGAGGCATGAAGTGTTTGATGACCAGCTTCGGGTACATACCTTTCACCAATTCAAAATTGCGTCGCGACAGTGCATCTGCCACAACATTCCGCTTCCCTTCCACTAGAAAGACGCGGAGGTCGATCTTGTGCTCTATCCGTGTCGAGACAGCCGTCATGAGGACTGGGTTGTACAGGTCTGTCGCGCGGAGCGAGTTGAAAATGTTCAGTGAGTTTGTCGAATCGGTGTAGATTGCGAGTCGTTTCGGTGGGGGGGATATTGTTGTAGACCATTGGAGTGCCGCGAGTATTGTGATAGCTTCATTGTAGAATATGTTGAATGCCTCGTCAGGTTGGGTTACCGGGTCGCCAATATACGCAGCTTTGTATTTCGGTGCCCAGAATGCGAGCCCAATCTTGCAGGCATCTCCCCATACAACCACATCAGCATCGCTTGGCCCCCATGATTCGGCGTTCAGCATGCGAACTCCTTCCATCCGCTCTACTGAATCAGCAAACCATAGTAGGTCATTTCGTACCTGCTTGTTTATATAGATGCTTTGATTCATCATCCGCTTCCCTGCGATTTTCTCGTATGACGAGTTCAGCGCCGGCTTGAGAAGTGGGAATACGTTGAGGACCCAGTTCGCATACCCAAGGGTCTTCAGCCAGTCCTTCAGAGGTTGCCTTCGCAGATTGTCCGGGGTGTCAAGGACAAACTTTCGTATCGCAGCGCAGAATCTTCCCTTTGCCTCTTCTGAGTCATCGACATAGTGAAGTAGACCTCGTATCCCGCAAACATGGATTCCAATCCAACATATGAGTCCGAAGAACAAGCACCACAGCCGGCCAGAGGCCCGATTCCCGAAGACTGCACATCGGTCCACATGGTACTTCCCATCAATCAGTGTTGCCTGCCGTGCCTGCCATCGTGGGTGCATTGGTAGCCGTCGGTAAGCTTGAGATGCGTCAGATTTCCAGAGAAAAGCTGGCCTCCTTCCTCCATTCTCTTTCATGACGGCACGGATATTGGTCCCAAGGTCAGTTAGATTGTCCAGGACTACATACCCGCCTTCACTCAGGATCAGCGAATTCAGGGATTTCTCCCCTGCGCTATGGTCGTTGACAAGCCGCAGCTTCGATGAGCCTTTCTTCGGTACCGTAAAAATAGGTTGTGCCACCATCCCAGGCAGTAGCTGGTCCCCAAACGCTTCGGAGTATCGGTCCAGGCCCATCTCGGCAGCACATTGCCGTCTAAGGAATTCGACTGATTCATCGTCCAATTCAGGAGCACCCTTTGCACGCTCTACGTGTCAGGGCAATAGCCCCGAACCCCGAGTCACATGTAAACTAGATAGATATAGTCACGTGGACAAGCGGGAACCTCCGGGTAACCGCTTACACACCACCGTAAAATACATCATCTTGTATCACTTACGGCTTTGTGTGCTGAGCAACCCCAAAGACCTCACACTTTTTTAAGTGCATGAGGTGTGTTTTACAACACAACCCACAACTATAAAATCTCAACATCTGATTCGGAAGCGCTTATGGCGCCTAAACACGCCCGCAAGGGCAAGGTCGCATCTGCAGCGACGTTAAAAAGAAGCGAGCGGTTTATTAAGAAACCGCAATCTCCCATCATGGGAGATTCAAACCAAAAGCTGTCGTCAGATGACGACGAGGATCAACGCGATCTGGGAAAAGCAACCACTTCAGGGCTGGTCCCTGAAGACTCTAGAAACTTACGTGGAGTAAGTGCGGGGCAAAATACCCCCAGAACTCCACAACAAACCGATCTAACCCAAGCTGGGGAAGATCCCTTATCTCCTCACGAGGTAAT